CAGCAGTAAATCATCATCACGTGCTTTCAGATGGAGCAGAATTTACTACATATAGCCGTAGTTCACTGACAAGCTACGCAAACAAATCGAAGATTCTGAAATCGAAGAAATGGTTCGCGATAGTGACAGCTGTTTGCGTAGCTTCTCAGTGAACTACGGCTCTGTGAAGTAAATGCTGCTCCATCTGAAAGAATGTGAAATTACCACATTTAATAACATATTTTTACTCCAAACTCACTTCATAACGTCAGTCAAGTGTCTGAAATAAATCCTTCTGTTTAAGCAGTGATAAAGGCATTGCATTATAAATATACTTTATTTTAATGAAAATTATAATAATAAATACTCAGATAAACCATATATTGCTGTAGTCATGTGTTTATTAGTCACGTTGAATCAATGATCAATGAAAGATCTTCTGTTTATTCAGCTGCAGCGATAGGCATTTTCTGGGTTTCTTCTGCGAGGCGTATGGCGTATTTCAGCGCGAGAGCGCCCTCTGGCCTTTGGATGGAGATTTACTGACCAAAAAAGTTTGAGAACCACTGATATAGATACTTATAAGGTGTCATATGTATACTTTCAATAAATTAGTCTTTACATAGTTTCTGAATACTAATTAGGCTGGCTAATTTAGAAAGTTTTCAGTATTGTTTGTGATCTTAAGATGTAATATGTATTTGTATTCTTTCTGTTCTTTCTGATGTATGCTCCTCTGTTATAGGCCATGAGGAAGAACTATCATGCTCACAGAGAATAGAGCTAATAGAGCTCAACTGGGAGAGCAGCTGGAAAACTGGAGGAGAAGAACAGTTGAACACCTATTAATACAGACGACTGTATTATTTTTCTGCAAGAACCACAACAAGCAAAGACAATGATGAGCACTCTGAGCAAACAACAGTCAGACGCTTGATTATGCACTGCACTTTACTGAGTTCTTCAACATGTGATGCTGAGCATTTACTGTTTGTAAAACTACTAATAAATTAAGTGGATGCCCTTTATAAACCTGTTAGATTTTGATGTTTTATTTTTGAGATTAATAAAATTGTATGTTTTAAGAACGTAATAGCTAAGCATTTTTTTGAGGGTTTAGGATTCTGGGAACAAAAATAAAACTTCCCGCTAAAAACTTTATAAGAATGTTAGGGGATAATGTTCTAATAATGTTGTGACTAAACATTTATAGAAGGTCATCACAGAACTTTTTTAGAGTGTTTTTAGAGAATGTCATCCTACCTTTTAGAAGAACGTTCTAAGAACAAAAATAAAACTAAAAA